TAATGGCCCTAGACTATGGGCATTATGGTATATTCCTTATTATGGGTAATGCAGAGTTTATATCACCAACCCTAAACCCTAAACCCCTATAGATCCCTTACAGGAAAACCTTAAAGGTGCCCTTATAGATCCCTTTAAAGGAACCCTAGGATTTATATCATCAACCGTAGGGTATGGGGCTCTGGTCCGGCCTGCCCGTCATCACCGCCCAGGAAGCCTTCGAGCTCCTTCCGTGGAGTTCTTCTGAAGTAGTAGTAGTAGTAGTAGTAGTAGAAGTAGTAGTAGTAGTAGTAGTAGTAGTAGTAGTAGTAGTAGTAGTAGTAGTAGTAGTAGTAGTAGTAGTAGTAGGTCGTAGGTCGTAGAATGGGGTAGTAGGTAGTAGGTAGTAGGTAGTAGGTAGTAGGTAGTAGTAGTAGTAGTAGTAGTAGTAGTAGTAGCAGCAGCAGTAGTAGTAGCAGTAGTAGTAGTAGTAGTAGTAGTAGTGGTAGTGGTAGTGGTAGTAGCAGTAGTAGTAGTAGTAGTAGTAGCAGTAGCAGTAGCAGTAGTAGTGGTAGTGGTAGTAGCAGTAGCAGTAGCAGTAGCAGTAGCAGTAGTAGTAGTAGTAGTAGTAGTAGTGGTGGTGGTGGTAGTAGTAGTAGTAGTAGTAGTAGTAGTAGCGGTAGTAGTAGTAGTAGCAGTAGTCATAATAATAGGCATAAAGTCATAATAGAAATCATAAGAGGCGGGGTTGTCATGCTTCGGGGTTGAGCTCAGGACTGTAGGGTTCAGGGCTGTGGAAACTTCGACGTTCACGACTTGCGGGATGTCGACGTTCACGGCTTGTGGTTCGGTGCTTTGGGTTAGGTCGGCCGAGAACTTCGATTGCTTGGGATGTTGAGGTTCGGTTTAGGGTTTAGGGTTTAGGGTTTAGGGTTTAGGGCATAAATTTTGTAGTAAGGCTTACTCAGCTACTGAGACTCAGGGTGGATGCATAGTTTAAGGCTTGAAGCCGGGGAGCTTTTGGATTCAAGGGTGTGGGTCTTAAGGTGCCGTGAAATGGACAACCTTATTGGACGGCGGTATTCCGAAGTGCCTCCACAAGCGCCACAGACTCCGTCGAAATGTGGCACAAAGAGCAACTTGTGCTGTTACGGGTGGACACCTCGCTACTCCACCACCAGCGATGTTGCGATACGACGTTGCCCAAACCGCAAAGCCCCATCAAAACCCAAACCAAACCCTGAACCCCGAAACGTGACCTTCAATCCTAATTAAACCCTGAACCACTGGATCCTAAACACGCGGCCGAGACCTCCCCACGCCCTTGCACCCTGCCCGGACATCCTCAAGAGAACCGGCATCGCCCTTCAGCGCGAGGAGCCGCCCATAGAAGCGCCCCAGGAGTTCCTCGTAGTTGCATTGAGGGAGTTCCTTTGACTAGGATACCCAGTAACCTAAGAATAAAACGGCCTCTCTTTTTGGTATTGGGTAACTTTATAAGGAACCTAGGACTACAAAAAGGGAATAAGGGTACTACTGGGCATCCTAGCTGAAGCTTCCTTTCAGGGTTCCTTGAAGGGTTCTTTAAGGGCTTCTATGCTTCAGTCCCTCTGAGGGCGTTCTGTTAGGGCCTGCATGCCTAGGGTGGAGGAGTCTAGGGGATGCGATTCTGGACGAAGCCCTAATAGCATGAACACGTAGCCAATCGAACTGTAAACTGTAAACCCTCCAAAAGTGTAAACCAAACCCCTCTACCACTCAGACAATGCACAACCTAAAGCCCCCCAAAAGCAACACCTAAAGCCTAAACATAAAATCTTGAACCCCCAATCTTCAATCCTACATTCTATACACTCTATACACCCTAAATCCCAGGCCCTAAACCCGAAGTCCGCCTCTGCCCATCGTTGGCCCTCCGCTGGCCCTCCAACCACCGTGACTCGGAAGCGGCCAAGGAAGGCATGATAGTCCACATCCTGACGGGAAGTTTGGGGTTTTTGCGTCGTTTAACCCTTCACACAATGCAAACCCCCGAAACCCCCTGTTGTACGCTTGCCGAGCCTGCAAAACAGGAGAGCTATCCCGGATGCTTCTTGGAGGTCGGTGTACGTGGTTCCAAATAGCAGGTATCAAGGGTCCAATAGATGTAGATGGAGGGTTTAGGGAGGTTTAGGGGTGTTGGATGGTTTGGGGTTTGGAGTTTATAGGACTTTAGGAATTTGGAGGTTAGGAGATTGAGGTTCGGGGCTAGTGTCTAGGACACGGGTTTTCGGGGCTGAGGCTTTCGTGCTTGGTGTGCACGGGGCGATTGCGGGGGTTAGGGTTGTAGAGCTTGTGTAGCAGACAGGACTGTAAGCTGGAATTTAGACCTTCGGGATTGAAGGCTAAGGGCTCTGCGCTTGCAAAGAGTAGGGACTAATTTTGGTATTATTATGGTCTCATGTTCGTCCGAAACATGTTGCATTGAGGTTTTCTTCTCGCTTCGAGGTGCCTCTTTCAAAATGTGGTCACTCAACCTTGGCACCCAAACCTCTCAACCGCATCTTACCTTGTGGTCTCTATCCGTGCTTGCCCTTCCACCAATGCAGGCAAGACTAAGACAGCTTGAGGAGGAACGAGACAGAGTGGGTGAAGTCGGCTTTGTGTTAAGCTGCAGGGTTGTAGGGCTGCTTGGATCCTTCTGCTTTTGACTCGCTGCGGTCGGTTGGGAGATTCAAGGGCGAGGAATCTCGAAGCCTTGGAACCTCAATCCTAACGCCGAAGAAGACTGAGACATCCGACACCGAAGCCCTCTCTTAGCAACAGCGTCCGTGCCTTGGTAAAGCCATCCTTGACGCGAAGGTTCTTGCCTCAGAGGTGTTGGCCCCCCAAAGATGGGCCCTTTTATCGGGTTATTGGTACATTCTGGTATGGACAAACTTTCGCAGGGTGTTTAAGAGGGCATTTGGAAGACATACTCTAGTCCGACCCCCATAGTCACTGCCCAGAGGGATCCTTCGCATCAAATTTCTCCACTAGTCACGTGCCCAGCCTAGCCTCAGCTACATCGCAAGGAGGAGATTGCAAGCAACCTCATCTGTCACCAACAGACGGCGTTACACCGAAACCACACCACGTCACTCCAGCGCGTCTCCATACCATCCACATGCGCGAGAATCTTTTGCGCAACTGTGACATACTCAAGAAACCATACATGGGCTGAAGCAACTCCTTACCCGCCAGCCTCAACCCTCAACTATGAAACCCTGACCCGTAAACCATGAACCCCTGAACCCCCAACCCTGCTCCTCCTATATAAATCCTAAATCCGAACTTCCACGCATGACCCTAAATACCTTGAAACCCAAACTCTAAACCCTCTGGCACAATTATAAACACTAAACCCAAACCCTCAGCACCCACCCGTCTCAACCCCAAACCCTACTACCCTAACCCTAAAATCGCTGAGCTATAAATCTGAAAACATTAGACACTAAACCCTCGCAGCCCCAAATCCTGCAGAATCTGAACCTCAAACCCTATAAACCCTAAATCCTGCACAGCCTAAGCCCCAAAGCCTTAAACCTTAAACCATACGTTAACCCGGAGCCCGGTAAACCCTAAATCCTAAGCCCCTAAACCCGGTAAATCAACCCTAAGCCCCTAAACCCAAACCTTAAGCTATAATCATTACCTGTACTTTTTTGGGCGTTCCTTACTATACCCTCCCAGACCTTCCAAAATCCCTTAACTAAGGAATATACCCTAAATGTGTAGGATCCCGAATATGACTTAAGGTATATTCCTTAATTAAGTGATTTTGGATGGTCTGGGCTACTTCCATTCTTAAAGTCCGTAAGCCCGAACCTCAAACGCCTAGAGGACCGCTCTCTCAGGCTCGAGCCGATGGTCTTCCAGCAGAACTTCTCCCCCAGAATGGCCTTTAAGCCTTCCTGCGGCACAAGAGGTCTTAGGATTAGGGTGTGCGGGTTTAGGGGTGTTGGGGCTTAGGTATCTTGAGTTTAGGGTTTAGGGTTTACGCGCCTTCCTGCGGCTGAAGAGGTCTTCGGATGTTCTAGCATTGCCCTGGAGGCTCCGGATACCTAAACAGCAGGTTTCTAACCGTATGATATGTAACGCAGCAACCTGCTATTTAAGGTACCTGGAGCCCTAGGGCTAGGTTTTAGATATCGGATGTGTGGTGGAAATTACGGCTTGATGTGGCAGCGGTCTTCGCAGGACTTTAAAGCTGTATTGAAGTTCGGTGCAGGCGTGCGTTTCTGAACTTACACCATGCGCTTCAGGGACTCAAGATGGGGATGAGGGTCCTTAATGATTGGAGCAGGGGTTTTGCGGTAGGCTCTCGTAAAACATAGTGAAGCTCCAGGGGAATGCCAGTATTTATCATTCAGACCTCTATTTATACTGGAGGTTGCACATTGGCGGTATCGTCCCGAGCAAGAGCCTCAGCATAAGCAGCATGGCACTGGTAGGTTCTTTGAAGGCCGCTCCGAGCCGAGGTAATCCAGGGGCCTGATCATCAGAACGCTAGTCTTAGCCCCCCTTAGAACCAGAATGAAAATCAATATGCGTATTCAACCTTTTTAATGGAAACACAAACATGATTCGTGAGAGTAATAAAGTATTCAGGCTTTATTCAACACGACAGTTGCAACGGACCGCGCCATCCTTTAGATGAGGAAACTATACTGAACTTAGAACCCTAGCAAAAATCATCATTTTAGCTGTCTCTTAGGGATTATAATAACCAAAAGTTAAAAACTACTTATTTCTAAGTACCCCTAAGGAAACGTACATCGACTTGCAAATCCCCAGTCGGAATCCCAAGCATTTAACCTACACACTCCACCCAGTCGAAACCCCCGTGTTTTAGGGGTCTTAATGAAGAATTTCAATAGGGTTTTGGGGTCCGTGATACTATAGCTATAATCAGGAACGCCAAAATAGTATAGGCAATTAGTAAGGCCCGTCTAGTATATCTCAAACGCAAACATCTGGCACTCGGAGCTTTTTTTCCGAAGTCACCAGAGCCGGCTGCTGCGAAGCGAAGCCAGCTCTGGTGCGAGCAGCTTGGCGAGACCCTCACCTGCACTGAACGCGGGGGGCCTTAACCCTAAACCCTAAGCCCTAAGTCCTAAACCCTAAATCCTAAACCCTAAATCCTAAAGCCGAAATCCTAAACCCTAAACCCCAAGCCCTAACCCCAAATCCTAAACGCTGCTACATCAGAACACGACTGCGGGAGTAGATTCACTTATATGGAATTCATGTTCAGGACTACAGTGAACCCCAGAAAGTTGGAACATGGATTTAGGATGATTCATACTGGGATTCCCCATACTTTACTCTAAATGCATGAGGCTAATGATGTTCCAACTTTCTGGCTTCTGCTGTATGAAGGGATGCTGTTACTAACCTTTCCGGAGCCCTGGGTCTTGAAATCGAGATCTCGAGGACAGGACATGCTATAGTGTCACAGTAGAAGCCCAAAAGTCGGAAACCCAATAGCCTCAATCCTTCAGAGTAATGTATAGGGAATCCCGGCACTATGTGGCCCTAATCCGGTTGCCAACTCTACGGGGGTTTACTGTAGGTTCCGAGTGGTCCAGATGCCGAAGATACCATCAGCTGTGTCTGAAAGTTGGGGGTCCAACAAGCGATGATTGGAGAAGTGCACATGAGGCATTTTGCGCCTTCCGCTCCTTGCAGCAGAGGCTCAGCTCAGATGCAGAAGCCTGTCGCCCAAACTCTGAAATACCAAACAAAACTTCAAACCCTCATCCTAAATCCTGAACCCAAGGCAAAGCACTGCAAGGTCTAGTCTCGAAGTCCCACTTCACTGCAACATGTGGAGCATGGTGTAAGATCTGTAGGATCTCGGGTGAGGGCTCAAAGATTGACACTTGAGCAAACAACCTGGAACCCTAAACCCCTAAACGCTAAACCCTAAACCGGAACCCTAAACCCCTGAACCCTAAACCCTAAACCGGAACCCTAAACGCCTAAACCCTAAACCGGAACCCTAAACCCCTAAACCCTAAAACCTTACAGGCCCGCCTAAAGCCTGCGAGCCGCGCCGGGAAAAGTGAAGTCCATCGGGCTCCCAGTGCCTCGGCTTTAAGGGATCTTTTCGGGCTCCTTAAAGTGATCTTTTAGGGTTCCTTCAAGGGATCTTCAAGGGTTCCTTTCGGAAATCCTTTGGGGCTCCTTTAAATCAAAGGGTAAAAGGCGGGACCCTTAACAAGGACCCCTACTTAGACGATCATGGGACTTAGTAAGTAAGGTTATAAGTAGGATATATATATATATAGAGAGAGAGAGAGAGAGAGAGAGGATAACCCCCACTTAGAGGACTTACAACACCAACTATAACCTACTTACTAAGTCCCATGATCCTCTAAGTATAGGTATAGAACCTCAATACAGCTATTATATACCCAGTACATGATCCATTACAGCGTAGGGGTCCACATTAAGGGTCCGTCCTTTTGCCCTTGGATCGTAAGGTTTATAGGCCCTATGAGCCCTAAACCTCATAGGCCAGGGCTCATGTAGTGAACCCCTGAAAAGTGGCTTATGCATTAAGGATGATTAGTGCTAGGATTTCCTATAATTTACCTTAAGGGCATGGGGATAACAATGTTCCAATTCATGGCTTCTGCTATAAGCCAAAGACCCTCTAGACCACAAGCCCTGAACCCTACAGGTTTTAGACCCTAAACCCTAAACCTTTTAGGCAGGGTTCATAGGCCCCAGGCACTATGAACCGCAAGCCCTAAACCTAGATACAGGTTTATGGACCCTAAACCCTTAACCGCAGCTTAATCGTGGGTCGACCCAGAAGGTGAGGACTTGCAGAGCTGTCCCAAAATCCTCAACCACAAACTTCATACAAGAATTCAGATGGTTCATGCTTGTGATGGTGACAACTGTGCCTGGGATCCCCATCACCCTGAACTCTTGTAAAGGATCCCCCGTAGCCCAGGAATAAGCAGAGCTTCCCTTTTGGAGTTTGGCAGTGTTGATAAAGAGCCCAAGACCACAGCAAGACTGGGAGACCTAGTTATTCACACCAGGCCCTTTGGATCCATGTACCCAAATAGCATATACTTTGCCCCTAAAGTCGTAAGGTCACAGTATATACTGTTTGGGTACTGCAGGGGCCTTAATAATTACCTATACTATTTTGGGGTTCCTTATTATCATTCTGGTATAATGGGCACCAAAACCCTATTCTAATTATGAAGACCCCTTTATTACATCGACCCTTAGGGGACAACTCCACAGCGCGAACCTGCCCCCTTCACGGATGAGATGCTCGCTGTCCCTGGAGAAGGGAAGAAGGTCACCCGTCCTCGTCGCGGCATGGGCAGACAACGCTTCAAGAGCTGGTCTAGGGCTTCAGTAAACCCCCATAAAGTTGGAAACTGGACTAAGGCCAAATAGTGCTGGGATTCCCTCTACATTACTCTTAAGGACTTAGGTTATTATTGGGTTTCCAACTTTTCGGCTTCTACTGTAGGGTGAAGGGAGTGTAGGGTTTACAGTGTATCGCTTACAGGTTTAGGGTTTGTGGGCTTAGGGTTTACGGATGTCTAGGGTTCAGGGCTTAGAAATGGAAGTTTGGAAGGCCTTTGCGGAGCTCAGGGCTATAGAGCCTGGAGATCCTCGCAATAACTCCCGGCTTGAGTGAGGACTCTGCTCACCATGCTGCCCTTACTACTAAACCCTAAGCCCTAAACCTTAACCCATAACCCTAAGCTTGAAACCCTATGGATGGCCGAGCAGCTCCACGTAGGTTACCATCCACTGCTGCTTTGCATAAGCCTGCAGCCAGACTGTCGATAGGGTGCAGGGTTTGTGGTCTAGGGCTTTGCATTGGCCACAGCCTCTTTTTCCGACCGCACAGAGGTGTAACACCCGGACGCGCTGTTGAAGGTCAGTCCGCGAAACAGTTTTAAAACCCTGACCCAAAATGCTCTTCCGCTCTTCATAGCAATACATCCCTAATCCCTTACTCATAAAAATCCGAAACCCTGAACCCTACACCTAAACCCACCCAGGTACTTAGGTTTCGGATAGTAGTTGCATAGGTCACTTTTTGTGAGAATATCTATATACATATATATATATATATATATGTATGTATATACTCATATATGACTTATGCCTATAGTCAGTCAGTAGTATTCCTATTATTACATGACTTCCCCTACTTACTGTTACTATTAGTTATGTGATTGTTAGGTACTGGGACCCTTTGCGGAAGCCTGAAGCTCTTCGTTGACGTCCTGCCGGCACTCGACCAAATCTTCGAAACGCAGCAGCGCACCGCCTGGGATTCGGTTTGGGGTTTAGGGATGTTTAGGGCCTGGGGTTTAGGCGTGAGATTCGGTTTGGGGCTTAGGGCTTGGGGTTTAGGGGCTTATAGTGTTTGTAAAGTAGCAGCGTGCCGCCTGAGATTCGGTTTGGGGTTCAGGGCTTGGGGATTAGGTGTTTATAGTGTTTGTATAGCAGCAGGCCGCCTGGGATTCGGCTTGGGGTTTAGGGGTTTATAGTGTTTGTATAGCAGCAGCGTGCCGCCTGAGATTCGATTTGGGATTTAGGGCTTGGGGTTTAGGGTTTAAAGTGTTTGTATAGCAGCAGCGTGCCGCCTGAGATTCGGTTTGGGGTTTAAGGCTCGGGGTTTAGGGGTTTAGGGGTCCCTACAGGCCTTATAGTGTTTGTATAGCAGCAGCGTGCCGCCTGCGATTCGGTTAATTAGGGCTTGGGGTTTAGAGTTAGTGTTTAGGGGTCTCTAGTGTGCGTAGAGCTTTGGGCTTAAAGTTCAAGTCAGGCTGTTGCTAGGGAGATGTTCTAGGTTTGGATTGTATAGGTTTGGATTGAGAGGTACGTCTTCCTCGGATAGAGGATTCCAGTCGTGTTCCTCCACTACACATGTTTGCTAGAGGAATCAGTGCTATACTGAACATGGTACCCTTGCAAGAGATAAAATTTTAGCTGTCTCATTAGGGTTTACAGTAACCGAAAGCTAGACATTGTGTAGCAAGTACCCCAAAGTGGGCCCTAAGCATACCGATGAGGCTGGACTGATCTGAGTGTTGCTGCTCCCCAAGCAAATCTTCCACTCAAACAACTTTTCATCGTGATCCAATTGATTCAAAGATTCAAAGGCCTTCTTCCTCATCGCAGCAGGATCTAAGTGCCAGTATAGGGCCAACATCTCTACTATATTGGTGCTGTGACTTACTGGAGTGGAAGACCGAGACACGACATCGAACTGGACCTCCCCATCAACCACCAAAACACAGAAAACAACAACATCTGACATGCACCCCAGGCCACCTTCCCGATGTCCGAAACCTGAACCACGAGTGCGCCAAGTCACTCCTAATCCCCAGTATCCTCGGCGACAGTAAAACCCTAAATCCCGACATAAATTGGTTGCAGGCCAGAGGCTGGGAGGAACAGACAAAGCAACAGTAGCAGAGCCCGCTTTGTGGCACTCGTGATGGATATTCCTTGAGTCGGTCCGGCTGACTGGGGTTTATTTGTCGAGATTAGGAATACAGGATCTGGAGGTCCTTATAACTACGATCCTTCCTTGAAGTGTCAGAAACTCCCACTTCGGACTCACCAAATTTGGGCGAGGGTGAATAAGAAGGACCCGCACACCGAGTCCAAAAACCAAGAACTTCCACACTCAACCCGAAACACTCGCAATTGAATTTCCTCTTCTGTGTGACAGGCGTAACAAATAGCAATCGTGGCCGTTGCCCTCATCGTAATACGAGTACTTGTAGTAACAGCAGCAGCGACACAGTAGTACTGGTAGTAGTGGTGACAGTGGCAGGTTGAAGCCAAACGGCGGCCTTCCGTGCTGTTGATGGGGTCTCATGGATGGGTGTATGGAACCTAGACGGAAAAGAGCAAAAAAGGCCTTAGCTTCGCGTTAAGGGTTTTGGACTTAGGCTTAGGGTTTGCAGTGCCGGGAACTCTTCTTGGCGGCTCCTGCAGATTTACTTCCATGTGCCCGAGGATCTTTATTGCTTGCGCGATCTGGCTCGCCTCGAACCGTGACAGATCGTTCCTTGGAGCTTTCAAGCAGGGTTTGCCGATGAGCTCCGTGAAAGGTGTGGGAGCAGCTGTCGAATCATGTGGATGAAGCTGGGTTGGGCTCGAGAGACAAGGCGGCCAAGTCACTACGTACTGAAGTGGAAAGCATCCAGGCTCCCATCCCACAACCCCGAAACAGACCTTTCAAGCGCTTCCAAACCCGAAGCCTTCGCGCATGCGAAACGACAGCATTCTAGGTTCGTTCCAAGCATGATGAAGGTAAGGTCGAAAGGGCCGTGTTCTTCGAGAAGCCTGGAGGAGGTCACGGGCTTGTGGGGGTTTGGGGTTCAGGGTTTGCCGGTTTGGACTTGCAGATTTTGGTTGGAGCTGCTTTACTGAGAGTGCTTGTTGTTCTGCGACGCTGACCATCAATGCCGAGAAGCAGCACGGTTCAAAAGCTGAATTAGAGGCCGAACCCCTTGGACCTACACCCTAAGGCTCCACAATTTCTTGGCTAAAACATGAGCTACATTGGGTTTAGCATCCTAGCCCCCTTGTTCAGTTTAAGGTTGTAAGAAGTTCTGCCTCTAGACCTTGGATTTCATCAAATAATTTTTTTGTCATTTATTTGCCATTTGTTTGTCATTTGGTGGTTTTTCCGTTTGTCATTTTTAAATCGTTTCTGTCATTCGCCCTTCCTCCCTCCGCGCCCCACGCCCACGCAAATGACAAAAAAATGACACCAAAATGACCAAAAAATGACAATGCCGTGGGAAATGTGCAAATTTCGGTTTGGTGCCCTGCCCCACCTTCCTCCCTCCCTCCCTCCCTCCGCGCCCCACCAAAATTACAAAAAACGACGCCAATGCCAAACAAATGCTTCCAAAATACAAAAAAAGTGACTCCAAAATGACATAAGAATGATTCCAAAATGACAAAAAATGACAATGCCTCGTGAAATGTGCAAATCCGGTTTGGTGCCCTGCCCCACCCTTCCTCCCTCCCTCCGCGCCCCACCAAAATTACAAAAAACGACGCCAATGCCAAACAAATGCTTCCGAAATGACAAAAAATGGCTCCAAAATGACAAAAAATGACAATGCTCCGGGAAATGTGCAAATTTCGGTTCGGTGCCCTGCCCCACCCTTCCTCCCTCCCTTCGCGCCCCACCCAAATTACAAAATACGACGCCAATGCCAAACAAATGCTTCCAAAATGACAAAAAAAGACTCCAAAATGACAAAAAAATGACTCCAATATGACAAAAAAATGACTCCAAAATTACAAAAAATGACACCAAAATGACAAAAAGATGACAATGCCTCGGGAAATGTGCAAATTTCGGTTTGGCGGCCTGCCCTGCCCTCCCTCCCTCCGCGCCCCACCAAAATGACACACAAATGACACCAAAATGACAAAAAAAGACACCAAAATGACAGTGTTAACGTTAACCAAATCCAGACTGACAAAAAAATGACAATCCCAATGACACAAAAACGACAAGAGCAAATGACAAAAAAATGACAAATAAGTCACAAAACTAATTCTGGAACCCACCTCAAGCTTTGCTGCAGACATTCTTACAAGTTTAAGGATTGAAAGCCTTGAGGCTCCGCAGTGACATGCACCAACCCACGAATGTCCGCCTAAATCCCTCCGTCTTCAACCCTTATAAGCCCCAGACCCTTGAACCCAAAGCCCTGGATCTCCGGAAAAACCCTATAGACCTTAAAAACCCCCTAAACCCTCAACCCCAAACCCGTAAACATCTTGAACCCTAAACCCTCACCTCCTAAACCTTAACGCCTAGACCCTCAAACCCCAGCCACCCTCTCGTCCCAAGCCTGCGAATCCCAGGGCCGTGTCGAAGAACTGCATCGCGGATCCTCAGATTTTCGCTTCCTCTACACAACCAAACCCTAAGGCTCCGTGTACCCTTATAGTAGATACTTAGGCCTTAAAGTACCTATATAGGGACTACTTTGGGCATAAGTATCTACTATAAGGGTACATGGAGCCTTAGGGAAAAGCAGGGTCTGGGGTTTCGCATTATAGGGTTTAGGGATTGGAGTTTAGGCCTGAGGGTTAATGTACCACAAACCTACTGATTTGCAGGGTCCCTGTTGGATTCTATATCAGCATGTATAATAGGAACCTACAAAAACATGGGTTATCGTAGGTGAAGGTAGCATTGGGATAACTTCTGTGTGTTGGGCTTCGGGTTTAGGGTTTAATGTTTAGAGGATCGCCAGATAAGTGTGTCGCTCCTGTAGTTAGGGGCCCGACAGCCCCCCTAAACCCTAAACCCTATATACCCCAAACCCTTAAACCCTAAACCCTAAACCGTGGCTCTACTTCCGAGAAAAGCCATATCCTGATCAAGAAACTCCCTCAGGCCCCGCTCCCTACAGCCGAGCCGCCAGCTTACCGGTTCAACTGTAGCCCTATAACTCTCTTCTTCAGCAACCGGGCCCCAAAATGTTCAAACTTTTTAAGATAGAGCTAATATATAAGGCCGAAAAGTTTTTTAAAGTTCCCCCGTTCACTATCCAAGATAAGGCCTAAACCCTTAGATCTTAAACAACCTGCAACCCTTATCAACTCCAAGTCTCCGAACCGATTCTCTAAACACCTAAACCCCAAAAGGCCCTAAAGCCTAAACCCTACACCTTAAACAGCGAAACCCCTACACCCCCAAAACCCTAAACCCCCTAAACCCTAACACCTGAACCCTAAACCTTAGACCCCGAAAGCCCTACACCCCCCAAAGCCCTAAACCCCTAAACCCTAAACCTTAAACCCCGAAAGCCCTACACCCCCAAAGCCCTAAACCCCTAAACCCCAAACCTTAAACCCCGAAAGCCCTAAACCCCAAAACCGTGCCTGGGGTCTTTGCCGCACCGGCCTTGGATGCTAATTGCACGGCAGTGAGGCCGCTTAGGCCGCACACCCAGAGCCTTGCAGGACAATTTGGGCTTAGGGTCTAGAGCTTAGGGTTTTAGGGTTTAGGGCTTAGGGTTTTAGGGTTTAGGGCTTAGGGTTTTAGGGTTCAGGGCTTAGGGTTTAAGGCTTCAGGTTTAGGGTTTAAGGTTTCAAGTTCAAAGGTTTAGAGCCTTGCAGGACCACTGCGTCAATTTGGGTTAGGGGTTTCAGTTTTGGGGCCTTCGGGGTTGAGGGTTTGAGGTTTAGGCTTAGGGCTTTTAAGGTTAAGGGTGTCGGGTTTGGGTTTTAAGGCTTTAGGTCATGGTCGCCATTTGTGTTCAGGTTTGCGAACCGGGAGTCTGAGAAAGTGTCGGATTGCCTCTGTTCATGCCAGAAGCACCCAGACCTTCCAAAATCATTTAATTAAGGAATATACCTTAAATAATAGTAGGGATCCTACTATTATTTCAGGTATATTCCTTGATTAAATGATTTTGGAAGGTCTGGGCATACAACAAATTGGAGCCTTGGTCTCCCTGATCAGAGAAACCTTCCAAATGCCCAAATTACCCAAAGGCCCCAAAGTAGTTCCTTTTTGGGGTTCGTATATAGAATCCTATAGAGTAGTCCCAAAAAGGAACTACTTTGGGGCCCCTGGGTAAACCTGCGGCCATAAACAAACCGAAAGACCCGCAAATGAGAGTAGGTCGAATAGAAATACAGGCAAGCTGTTACTACAACATGGAGCGCTAAGGCACGGTACTACTCGCTACTAGGCACTCAAGCTTCTATATTACACACTTAGAGGATCATGGGACGTTGTAAGTAGGTTAGCATTGGGGTTACAAGTCCCCTAAGTGAGGCTATCCTGCTTCTATCCTACTTATAACCTTACTTACTAAGTCCCATGAGCCTTTAAGCAAGCACCCATCCGAGCAGCTCGCATGGTGGGCCAAGACAAGAGCTCCGGCCAAAAGCTTCGGCATATGGGGCGAACCTGAGACAGTCAAAGGGGAAAAGGAGGTACCCTTAATAAGGACCCCTAGGTATATACCCTTAATATAGCTATTATATACCCATCATGTAATAGCCCATCGTACGGTAGGGGTCCCCATTAAGGGTCCCTCCTTTTTTCCCCTTCGAGACAGTGAACCGTGTACACCAGGGCATGGTCTCTGAGGGTGGAAGAGGCGCCTTGAGGATTAGAACTAGAACTAGAATCGGGTGTTGGGAATAATATACTACAACTCACTCGCTCACTCTCTCTCTCTCTCTCTCTCTCTCTCTCTCTCTCTCTCTCTCTCTATATATATATATATAGATGTGGAACTCCCCCATGACCCACCTCGGCCTCTTATCCATTGTAAATCGCGGTAGGTCTTCGGGGGGGGGGGTCGAGCACATACATAAAAAATAAAGAGGGACTATCATGAGACATCAAATTGAAGCAGACCTCTATCATCGACATATCGTGCGATGCCAAACTCCACGAACCTGGTCTATGGTTTATGCTTGCCGATTTAGGCTTTGTATCGGCTGAAGGGTTTGTGGTGTGAAAATTGCATTTGGAGCTCCGGTGTGTCTTAAAACTTACCCAACCCCCCAAACTCCCTAAACCTTAAGCCCTAACACGCAGCAATTTATACAAAAGGAACTTAGAGCTCCGGATTTATGGGGCCTTGCGACATGTGGGATCGGTTCACATCACTTGCTTGCGAGAGGCGAGCTCTTCTAGGGTAGCCTCAATCAGGTCCTAAAGTATATGGGTGGTTGTTAAAATTATGGGCCCTTTTTGGGGGCCCTAAATATCAGGTGTCGTATTATAATACGGACCCAAAAAAAGGACCCTAATTTTGACAACCACCCATGTGATTTACAGGCTTTAGGGTTTAGTCTCAAGATTACAGCGTACACTATAGTTGCAAAATGGTGACGGCCACATCCAGTAGGACCTGATAGCACCTTGACACTGTAAACTGTCTGATACTGGAGAACTGTCGATGTCTGCAGGTCGGGGCGCAGGCAGCCAGATGCATGGTAGCCTGCCGTCAGGCTGTCGCCATAGAAGAGCCTGGAATCATGAATCAGCTGAAGCCCCAAGCGATTGACGGGCTGGTCAGCGACTTTGTCTAGAAGACTGCTACGCAGCTTCAGAATTGATCCAGAGGCCCTGTACAGTTCGTCAATTGTAGGTCTTGTTGGACACTTGCATGCGGACTTGGGATAGAAAGCAGGCCAACGCATCCCAAACAAGAACGTGGACTCGAATGTCCCAAACCCCAACCCCTATACTAAACCCTAAAGCCCCAAACCCGAACCCTAATATAGGCGCCTAAATAGCTAGAATCGTTTTGGGGTCCATTATACTACATCTGTCCAACCTCAGAGGCCCCCCAGCCGCTAGCTCCTAGGCTTTGTCTGCCAAGAGTTAGGGCTTCGGGTTGAAGGCGCAGACGTACGCAGTACACTCAAAAACCCTATACCCTACCCAAAGGCCCCAAAGTAGTTCCTTTTTGGGGCTCGTAAATAGAATCCTATAAGGTAATCCCGAAAAGGAACTACTATGGAGCCTCTGGGATATAAACCCTAAAATCTCCACGAGAGCCATTTTAACTCAAATCTCCGAAAGCCCAAAAATGCTGCAAAGGCGACGAATACAAGACACCCTCAACAGCTGGACTAGGGTTTTGAGTATCCTACAATGCATCTATATGGGTAGTTCTCTAAATTTTCCCAAGTTTAGAGAACTACCCATAAAGCGTCATCAAACCCCATGTAAGACCCCTCAAAACCCTGCGAAACAATCGAGTTGAACTACCATTATCTACCCCACAACCTTCTCCTTCTTGGCCCGATAAACTTCTTCAAACCTCTAAACCCTCAAAACCTAATCCATAAACCCTACACCCCAAACCCGTAAACCCTAGACTCCTAAACCCAAAAACGCTAAACCTTATAGCCCAAACCCTACCTTAACCCCGAAGAACCTACCGTTTTGGGGTTCCCTATTGTGATTTCCTTATATAAGTCCTTAAAAAGGTAGGTTCTTCAGGGTTAAGGTAAACCCTAACAAACCTCTAAACCAGGCCGAGGTGCATCCGAAGACGTCGCCGAGCTTCGGACCTCTAGTAGGGCAAAAGGTTTCGCATGCAACGTCTCACTGGATGGCTATCATAGGGCGCCAAAAAAGCACATAAGCAAACATTAGGGTAGGGATATGCCATATAAACCCCCTTCTAACGAAGCCCAAGAAGGTAGGGATATCACCATAAAATGCTTATGCTTATGTGCTTTTTGGGTCCCTAATATAAGGTTTTACCCAAAGGCTCCATGTACCTTTCTGGTAGATACCTGGGCATTAAAGGGGTCCCTATATAGGTACTTTAAGGCCTAAGTATATACTATATGGGTACATGGAGCCTTAGGGTTAGAGATTAGGATTGAGGGCTCTAGGGCTTCGGGCTTTAGGCTTCAGCTAGGGGTTTAAAGGGTTTAGGGGTTTAAAGGGTTGAAGGGGTTTAGGGTTTAGGTATATACAGATTATACAGGGCCTTATGCTGACTTATTGGTGCTTACATCAAGTCAAGGTTTGAGGGCTTTGCAAAGGCTTTGATTATACTGTTGATGATGTAAATCCTGCATTACCTTAAGGACCCTATGTAAACTATGGGAATTATGGTATATTCCATATTATGGGTAATGCAGGATTTATATCATCAACCGTAGTACCCCGGTCTTTTGGCTTAGGGCTTGATTACAGAGGACAGAGTTTAGGGTTCTGGGCAGGGAGATGCTTCCGAAAGCATTGCAGTCGTGGAGCGGGTCACCCTCGACGCTGGCCACCCGCGGCACCTGGCGAAACATCAAACTGACACCAAAATCTGAGGCCTGAATAATCAGAACCCCAGAGATCCCAATACCCCTTAATTAAGGAATATACCTTAAATTGTTATAGACGATCCCTAATAATTCTTAAGGTAGATTCCTTAATTAAGGGATATTGGGTCCTCTGGGACAGTGTTTGGTATGCTGCAACTAAACCCTAAACCCTCATAGTTGGGAGCCCCCAGGGGTATGATCACTAAATACTCTTTCAGGGCTACATTATGTTCGGTTTAGGGTTTAGGGTTTAGGGTTTAGGCTTTAGGGGGATATTATCAGTTCCAGTTTATTCCGAAGCCCATGCTACTCGGAAGATAACTTTCCTTAGCTTGTCCCATGCACGGAATGGAGGGTTTCGAAGACAAGGGACCCTGGTGTAAACCGGAACTATTAGGATGCAGATCACAAGGATCACGCTAATCCAAATGCTAAGAAGCCAGAATAGCAACAGAACCCTGAACCCCGACTCAAAGAAGCGCGCAGAATCCGAAACGCCTGAACCCCAAAGCAACTAATACAAACAGAAGTCGATCGAAGGTCCAACTCCTAGGAACCCGAGCCGCAGATATACCAACCATAAACCACTGGAGCCCTGAACCCTGAGGCCCTAAGCCCTTTACCTCAAGCCCGAAAGCCTACACAAGCCCGGGGGCTCGCACAGAGCCGACCCAAAAAAGAAGTTTAGGGTTTGGGGATGTTTAGCAATGAGGTTGAAAGGCTTAGGGGTTTCGGGTTCAGCTAAGAGCTTGTGGGCTTCGCAGTTTATGGGTTTAGGGTCTACAACGGCCTAGGGATTTAGAGGTTCAAGGTTCTTCGAGTAAGTCATGGCCACGGTAAAACCGACACAGGCCCTGCTGCAAACCGGGAAACATGACAACAAACAACACAGAGTAGAACACCGGGGGGATCATCAGCTGCGACGTCAGCCGGTAGATATACATGCAGACATATCGGCACGACGTCTCTGCCCTGCAACACGAACATGCTTCGATCCCTGAAACCTTGCATACTGTAGCGGCCTTAAGTCGTACCTGTAAAGATAACAGCAACAATGGTTATAATATATGAAACCGTATGGTAGTTATTAAGAAGAACAATAATCACAATAAGAATAAGAATAAGAATAAGAATAACATTCAACAATAACACAAAATAAGGAGCCCGAAACGAAACATTATTGAAGCCCTCACAACCCCGCCTCCAAGAGCTGCGGCATGGGACCGCCAGCGCAGTTTGGAAGCCGCGCGATGGAATCGCGCGACTGGAGCACGGGGAGCAGCCTGGGAGTCTGGCTTTCGAGGCTCAACATGAGCTAGGGTTTAGGGTCAAAATGAATTTAGGGCTTTGGGGGTTTAGGGCCTATAGGGCTTGTAGGGTTTAGGGTTTTAGGGTTTATAGGGTTAGGGTCTAGGGTGATTTCCGGCTACCCGTTAGTTGCAAGAGTCTTTATATGTTTATATGCTATCGGCTTTGGACGCAGTTTGAGGGTACTGTACGATGATGGACAAGGGGCCGTCTTGCCACAGCGTCCCCAATCTGTATGGCCACCCTCGAGCCCAGAAATATAACATGGGAAGCAGTTTCAATCTCCTTGCAACTACGCGCACATCGTCGCCTTCCCTCCCTAAAGTGTCGAACTCCAGGTTTTGCGGCAAATCCGCAAGCTCAAAGGCCCTACAGGACCAGTTCATCCAAGTTCACCACTTGTGAAGGTCCAGCCCTAAGGCTCCATGTACCCTTACAGTAGATACTTAAGCCTCAAAGTAGTCCCTATATAGGTTTAAGGCCTAAGGATCTACTATGAGGGTACATGGAGCCTTAGGGCAGCAAAGTTCGGTTCGTCCAAAGGGCAGCGGAGCCAGCGCAGCTCCGAGCTGCTTCTCGGACTGTGAATCGAAATGGTGTCCTTCTGCCTCGCAGCCGAATTCGCTTCGCAGCCATTACCAATATACTAATTTGGGGGGTTCCTTATTGTAACTTTAGTATAATAACCCAACCGTTTTAGTATAATTAATAACCCAACCCTAGTCTGGTTAAGGCCTCTATAGCCAGAAGCAGGCTTGAGCTGACCGAACCCGAAACCTTCGGCTGTGAGGCTTCGAGTCCAGGGGCTTTGTTTCCCGACTCTATATGGGTGGTTGTCAAAATTAGGGTTCCTTTTTGGGTACCCTACATAATAGGTGCCGTACTAGAATAGGGACCCAAAAAGGGACCATAATTTTGGCAACCACCCATATTGCGAACGGAACCTTTGCATACAAGACTGATGCTGCTGCTGCGGATACCACTACCACTGCTACGACTACTACTCCTGCTGCTGCTGCTACTACTACTACTACTACTACTACTCCTAGTTACTACTACTACTACTACTACTACTACTACTACTACTACTACTACTACTCCATGCTTAGAAGTTACAGCTCTTTGACCCGAACCCTGTAGCTGATCCTTTTAGGGTTGAGAGTTTTAGTGCTCTTGGGCAGAAAACAACCTACGTACCAATCTAGACGGTATGAACCTAAACTCTTGGGTTCGTAGGAGGAAAACAACGTAGAGCTTACAACTCCAACCCACGGCCGTCTTTGCTGCTTCCGCACGGAGGTGGCCTGAACCTACCATTGCCTTGCATGCCAGGCAATCTGACATACTATAAATTTGAGAGGACTATTAGTTTTGTTGCGCAGGTTTGTTTCTATAGGCGGCCTTAATCATCATGAAAAAGTCCATTTGCAGTATGTTTCTCTATCTCTGGGGATGCTGCAATACTAACAATCCAGTCCCCTCTGTTGCCCCAAAGACCGTTTCTCTAATGCTCAAGAGCAGTTGCAACAACCATAGAGACTGCCCCTGGAGTGCAGCGTTGGTTCAGAAGCCGCAAAGCAACCTGGGCGGAATCTAAACTCCGACCGACTGAGACCTTCCAAAATCACTTAATTAAGGAATATACCTTAAGTCATATTAGGGATCCTACTATAATTTAGGGTATATTCCTTAATTAAGGGATTTTGGAAGGTCTGGGTACTAACCGAAACGCGCCTCCCCTGGGAGCATTTCTGCCACATCGATAAAGGTGGCGACACCCTCGTGGCAGCCCGTATTCTGAACCCAGCTCTTCCTTGGGGCTTGGTTCCTGTTGATATGAATCCTGCATGACCCATAATAAGGAATATACCATGATTCCCATATATTCCTTATAATGGGTCATGCAGGATTTATGTCATCAACCGTTCTCACATGGTCTTCACAAAGGGTCAGGGTGGTGGGGCCGTCGGCTTTAGGGCTTAGGGGTTTTAAGGCTTAGGGCTTCAGGGGCGAGGATGTCTTTAACGTTTAATATTGCGGTTGGCCGTTTTGAGAAGGGCCGCATCTGCTAGTCTAGAGTCGGATCTATGATCCATGTGTTGGGGTTGAGGGTCACTGCAGGATGAAGGGTGTAGGGTGACCACACAGGCTTCGGGATTGATGGTCTCGGATTTCGGGAGTATGACTTTGGAGGCTTCCTAGTGATATTGGGCCCAAGGTATAGGCTGTTTGGGTACATGGACCCTTACAGTATGTCTGCACGGCATGCCATGCTCGCAATAGGTTTGAGGCTTCTGGCTTCAGCAGAAGTCCTTGAGTTATCGAGGCTCGGACATGCATGTTGTGAGATTTCATTTGGGTTTAGGGTTTAGGGTTTAGGGTTTAGGGTTTAGGGTTTAGGGTTTAGGGTTTAGGGTTTAGGGTTTAGGGTTTAGGGTTTAGGGTTAGGGTTTATTAGGCACCCTAACGCCCTCCAGACTCTAGACCTTTTGTCTCACATCTAGGATCTTTACTCGAGGCGTGATGCAAAGCTGAGTTGGTGTACTTAGTAAGATGGAGCACCTCCTCACAGATTACGAGACCTCGTGTATGGAACCTACCTTAGGATCCGAACAGGAAAGCTTCAGATAGGCCAGCTAACAGGCTTGTGCAAATCACTGACCATTCCGCAGAAGCCCTAAACCGCTAATATCCCTGAACCCTATACAGCCTAAACATTCCCAAACCCAAAACTTTACAGGAGCCCTATGTAACTGTATTTCCCGGTCTAGACCACAGCTGCTTCGTCCGAGCTGCAGACGATTGTTGACTTCCTCCCATCGTGCCTGATGCTTTGCAGACTGAGAGAGGACGTGGCCTTGGCTGGGCTAGGGTTTATAAGATTTAGGGTTTAGGTGGAGACTCTTATGACAATGATTGCGGTATTATATACTACAAAACCCTACCCTAGTAAAGATTACTTTTCTTGACTACAGTGTACTACATGGCCGTTCTACTGCTTACAGTATATATACTTTACTTAAAATGGCCCCACTCTAATGCCTAAAGCCCTACACTTACGTAGCCTTATAGGATCGTAACTCGATTGATTCTAGAACCTCGGTCAAGCAGCTCCTGATCCTAATCCTGAAAACTTTGGGTGCAGGGTTTTTGGTTTTATGGCGGTTGGCTTTCGCACCTGGCATTTTGTATTGGTGGCCCGTCCTGGAGACATGGCTCGGGTGAGTGTAGGGACGAGCTTAGCGTTTCTGCCCAGGCAAATATAATAATCCTTACCCCTAAACAGCGAAATTCAGACATACAGGCCTACCCCATCCGACACCCTCAACCAAAAACCCTGCCCTGCCCAAACCACCCTCATGCCCATCCCCAACTTCCTAAAATCGAGAAGCTGCTGGGGTCTGTAACATGGTTTCAGGGCCGCTCATTCATGTGGGTATTTCGGGCTTGGGGTTTGGAGAACTGAAGGGTTCACAGGGTTCAAGGGTTTAGGGTCGAGGTCTTTGCGTTTCGGGGTTCAGGGTTGAAGGCTTTAGGGTTCAGGGTTTAGATTTTTTCCGAGTCTACAATTGCCGCAGAGCTGCTGGGTGGGATGGTGAGCGCTACAGTGCGGACACCCTTCGAGTGGCAAATGGTGTGCAAGCACTGCACTGCCACGGACACCTCAGCAACAGGGTTTCGTTGTAGATCATCCTATTCTGCAGCAAAATCCCAAAGGGTCCAAGCACCATTATAGTAGGTATTTAGGTCCCACAAGTATAAACTATACCATTACTTGGACCCTTTGGGAATAGCAATTAATGACGACCTCTGCCGTCCGAGCGTCCCCTGCCGGTGTGGTGTGGCCATGGGCGAGGTCGTGGAATCCTGCTTGGATGATGACGATGTCGAACCTTTCTGAAGTAGGGGCCGTAACCACTACAATAGGGCTGTATGAGGTTTTAAAGGGGGTTCTTGAAGGGCTTTCGTATAGGGGCGATAAGCATTCGAATAATAGTCTAGTGCACCAAGGGACTGTAAAGCAATAGTAATAAATGTAACGATAACAATAGTAAGTCTTATCATAGCACTTAAACCATATAATAATAATAATCGAAATAGGGACTATTCCCGAACCCCTAGATCTGAATGCCCAAACTGCCTAAACTCTAAATCTTAGCCCCAACAGCCAATTACGGAAACCCATGCAAGCTTCGAAGTAGATGGGCTTTCGGGTTTGGGGTTTAGTCCCCTAATTCCGAGGTTCTGAGGGAGGGGATCTGTGAAGCTGAAGATTTGCATAATATATTGATCTAATATTAGGAAATTTGTAATTAATATAATAGAATATAACAGAATACTCTCTCTCTCTCTCTATATATATACATAAATATATACTATGTATGTACACATGTAGTTGGGGCATTTGCGAGCACTTCAGGCTTGTAGGGTAACGGCTCAGCCGCAGCCAGGGATACGCGACACCCCGGTTTTGAACCTGCCCCCACCCCGTCCACTGAGCGGTAACATGCGACAGTGGCAATTTTACTGTGAACCCTTGTAAAACCCTGAACCCTCAACCCCTAATCCCTAAACCCCTAGACCCTAAACCCCTAAACCGTAAGCCCTAAACCGCCTCGAACTAGACGAGACAAGTCCGTGAAAGACGGAGGCCCTGAACTCTATGGACCCTTATGAAGTACTTAGAGGATCGTGGAACTTGGTAACTAGCTTTAAAAATGAAGTAGGTATATGGGAATTTCCGAAAATTAGGGTTACCTTATTCGGAGGTCCTTATAATAAGGATCATACTAGCTCGGGAACTATATTGGGGTCCCCTATTGTCGGAAACCCCCCATACAGTTCGAAATCATTCTAACTCCAAGTAGAATACTCATGACCTTGCTTACAAAGTCCCATGATCCTCCAAGTAGACCCTATAAAGACGTCTGGAATGTTGGCTTCAAGCAGGGGCTTCCATACTCGGAAGGGGTTTGGGGATGTTATGGCAAAGCTTTGAAGGAACCCTATTCGATAACGTAAGTAATTGTTCATTTCGATACTAGGGTTAGAGTTTAGGGCTTAGGGTGCAACATTGCGAGTAAAGACACAAAGAAGTGACATGACAAAGTCCTCAACCACACCAACACTAAAGCCTAAACCCCTAAACCGTCAACCCCTAACCCGGCCTCTCAACCTGCAGCAGGCAGCGTAAACCCTTGCCAGTGTTGTCCGCTTCATCCGAAACCTCAAGTGGGGACCGGTGATGATGCTTTTTCAAGCTCTTTCAAGGGGTTCAGAACGGGTTCTTAAACCGGTTTATACTGCTTTCCAAGGCGTTTAGTATAAGCGACGACTGCCGGAACTACATCCCATTCGAAGTGGCTGCCCATGTTGACAGGATGGTGTTGGGTAACCGCTGCCGACTCTGCAGCAGATAGCGCTTACGACCATGGTGACAGGGTACCGACAAGCAGGTAGCAGGACCACCCTGGCTGCACTTATACTATAGTTATAGTAGGAATCCCAAAACATCCCAGCAGAGCCCGTGCTTTTTTCGTGCATGCCCAACGGGCTTCGGTTCCTTCGAGGCCGTTGCCTCGAAGAAGCCAATGTAGCAACGACGCCGAGAACGGAAGTAGGTGCTTCATGCCAGCTCACGCAAAGCCTCTACAATCGGAGAGAAAAGCCCACTGGTGTATTGACAGGCTACTAGAAAATATGTATAACACATATATACATATATGATCATCTTATCCATGATGAATGACGCCCCAACATGGAACACCGAGAATGGAAGAAAATACACCGACGGCTCAAAAGGCCCCTCAGGCTGCGCCGCCGGAATGTCGGCGATGTCTTTCAACCCCATGGTGGTAAACTGACAGCGGGAGAGCACCTCCTCAACTTAATACATTACCCGGCTGCATTCGGAATTTGGCCTCGTCATTCACGAAATCTCGGACGTAGACCCAAACCAATGAAGACTTCCTGGATGACTCCTGACCACGACATGGGGCGAGGTTGACCGTGTTGGCCGCCAGGAACTTGCTTTGGTCATCCAACCTCCGAAGCATCACGGGTGGTAGCTCATGCGTGTCTGGAGAACCATCTTGGCACTGTTCGTGTGCAAACTTCGCCACGCACATACGGATGCTGAGCCAATCCGATGGCCTGAGCATGGTCTGCAGGCACGGCATGCACGAGTGAATGTCATTGGGTAGGTTCTTGTCTCTCTTGAACTTGGCATGCACTTGCAGCACGTCCTGCTGGTCTGTGCTGGCGTCCACTAGCATCGTAAGTTCCCGCAGTTCGGGAGCGGGATGTACCTTGCACAACATCGAACTGGCAAAGCGGCATGGACAGAAAGGACGACTATGCCGCAGGCCACAGCTACAGGAAGGGGAAGCATTGCGGTGAACTCCGCAATGGCAAGCTTGCCGGGCAACAAGGTGCGGCTCGACTTCGAGCAGTCTGGAAAAGATGAGATTTCGCCTTGGCAGCTTGAGCCCACTTGCCTTCGAAGCAGACATTCATGCACACGCCCATACATACGTGTGTGTACCTGCATGCATCGATCCATCCATCCATCCAGCCAGCCACCCATCCATACATCAACACATGCACTTCAACCACAAGCGAACAAACTACGTGTTTGTGATTTTTACACATGCGTATATGTATGTATATAGATACACAAATACACATATGTGCATATATATATATATATGTGTGTGTGTGTGTGTAAGTATGTGTACACATGTGCATTTACATACGTGCATATGCACCTCTCTCTCTCTATATATATATATACATATTGTAGCTGTCACAAAGTCAATTTACGTTCTGATTAGCTTTGAAAGGAGCAGCCTTGAACCAAAACACAGAAGCAACACAAGGACATCAAACCCTACACCCTGCAACACCCTAAACCCCATTATATGGGCCGTAATAGTTAGATTCGGGTTTCGGGGCCCCTTATATTATACTTACAATATGTAAGGAACCCCCGAAATAGTATAAACCCCTAACCCCTAAACCCCATAGGGTACACACTCTAAACCCTACAACGCCCTAAACCCTAAACCCTGGCTCATAAGGCCCAATATACTATAGATATAATAAGCAACCACCAAAAGAGCCCCCATATTAGGGTTGGGGTTTAGGGTTTAGGGTTTAGGGTTCCCTTATAGTTCCCTGTAAGGATCCCTTTAAGGAGCCGTAAATACTGGCTCACAAGGCCTCATCATCGTCCATGGAGTCAACGAGCGCGCCGGCCTCCAGCCCAATGTAGCCGCACCTCTCGGAAGCAACGAGCTAAGGTTGTGAGCTTGAGATCTAGTTTGGGCTTTCGAGTAGTTTAGGGCCAGGACCCCCCAATGGCCCTTGAATAGAGTCCTTATGGAATATATTAGAGGGTAGTTGGGGGGTCCAGACAATGTAGGGTGTAGTCAAGGCTTTAGGTTTTAAGGTTTACGTGTATGAGCACTATAGGGTTCATATTTCCGTTTCGAAGGACAATGACATAGGATCGATAGGGGCTTGGGCGCGCAACACTGCCAAGACAAATTCCGACAACAGGAGTCCGCTACAGATGGAACTGCACAACCAGTGAACGCAGACAGGAAATGCCTGAACAGAAGACGAAGCACAACAGCACCACAAGGAATGCCCAACCCCAACCGTGCACAGAACACACCCGAAATGCCCTCGATCGACCGTAAGGTGCACCTAAAACCTAAAGACTCTTTCACCTACATCTTAACCCTAAACCCTATACCCTCATGCGACATACTAAGTCTTTGCCAAACGAAACCGAGGGAGATTCCCTGAGGCTGGCACGCCCAGATCTCTGCCGAAGTGCCCAAGGCTTGGGCCAGCGCCTCCCCGTAGCTGCACACCCGGGCCTCCGCCTGTGTACAGGGGTTAGGGTTGAGGGTATAGGGCTTCGGATTTAGAGTTTGGGGTTTAGATATTGAGGTGGCGACCGTCGTCAGGAGTCAGGATACCCTGTCTTGAAAGAGACATCTTAACACGGGAGAAGAAGGTCTCTCTTGGTCCTGCGGCAGGTCCAGCATATGAATATCAACAGGGGTTGCCCGAGCAGACATCAGATCTTTTTCCTTAGACCTAGTTACCCAATGTCTATGCTTCTGGGCAGCCACCTGGATTGATTATGCACGGTTGGAAGCACCATGTAGCAACATTCAAGTTTAACTATAGTTGCTAAGTTTAATCTCCTGTTTAAACTTACTAAGTTTCCCGACAGTAATTATCGAACCTTCATCTGCTTCGTGGTCCGTGCTCGCTGGGACAGCATTATAGATACATTCGATGGACACGGGCGCAAGTGTCAACGTCGGTCACAACTTGATAACCACAAGCAGCTCGCATTCTTCGGAATAATTAAAGCATTAGGAGAGTAGTTTTCGTGTTAAACAGCTAAACCTGATTAAAGAAGCTCCTTCGACTACGTGGGTTGCAAACAGAACTATCTTCACCAAAAAGAACATGTAATTCTTAGCACGATGTCAAGATGTTTAGGACATGCTTACGAAATTTGCGAGTTAATTAGCTCCGCCGACAGGCAATGGGCCAAACCAAGGTGTGGCGTGATGGGACATCTGGTGAAGGCTAGCCATTTCAGACAGCTCCCGGTTTGAGCTAAAGATCCCACTGGCCCCTTGTTGCCCCATGTGGTCTGTCAGGAGTCTCCAGCCCCAAACATTCTAAGCAGATGAGCCACAAAGCGGCAGGTGAAGCCATCGCCGAAGAGCAGAACACGCGCCCTGTCCTCCAGTTTACTGTCGCTCGAAGCTCTTATCATCTAACCTTGCGGCTGTATGCTCTCCGAAACACTTCAGAGTGAAGACCAAACCTCAACCTCTAAATGCGAAGCGAAGAGTTGATGACAAGCATGCTGGCACAGGGATGAGAGGATCGGATCTCGCCGCGTCTAGAGTCTGGGACTATCAGATCCGACGAGAGCCTTGTGTTTCGGGTCAGCCGAGACTGCTTCAACTATGCCAACTATGCTGAACAGAACATGTACCATGGTACCTGTCATGCACTCGTGGTCGGCAACAGCCGGCAACCAAGTGCGGTCATGTGAATGAGCACACGGCTTGAAGCTTACAGCCTTGGGTGCTCAAAACTGGAAGACCCCGACAATCGTGAATCGCGCAGAAGACCTGACCTTCGGGGGGATGCTTTCGGAGCCATGACGGAAAGCCTCTACTCCCATAAATTTCATGATGAGGTCGAGAAGACTGCTGAACACCAAACTCGAATCCGAAGATTCTGAGAAGCCTATCAATTAGAATAGGGTTGTAGGTTTCAAGGAAAATTGGGGTTCTTGGGTACTAGAATTATGCAGGGACGGTAAGCGGATACTAACTCTAACTGATTCTTCCGACGGCTAGAGAAATTATGTGAAGCTGCTTCAAACCAAGCCCAGCCATTCGTTCTCCCTACTCCCTGTGTAAGTCTTATAAGCCTGCCTTATTCTACCAAAACCAACTTTTTTGTAGGGCCCCTAAAAATTTCATATTAGGGTATATAATAAGAATCTACAAAAAGCAGTGTTTGGTAGTTTGAGGTATATGGCCTATGGGTCCCCAACTGCGGCGCCACACATCCTAGTGTGCAGAGAACGACGGCCTTGGCCTCGCTGTCTGCGCTGTAGCCCGCACCACCGCCGCCCAAGAGCGCGGGGAACACCGCGGCACGCGGCATCGCTCAAGTGGACATGTGAAGTGTTTGTCCAGGAACTTGACAAACCCTAAACCCTAAACCCTAACCCTAAACCCTAAACCCTAAACCCTAAACCCTAAACCCTAAACCCAAGGCCCGGAGACCCAACATACATCCAACCGTTTCGAATATCACCTTGGGCTCACGCTTTCACGACACATTAGAACCGAGTCCTAACAAGAGCCCAGGAAAGATGTGAAACGTAGGGCCTAGCTTTGGGATTTCGACTGAAGGGCTTCAGGCTCTTATGACTCTCAACACGAATCCCCAAACCCGGCAACCCTGAACCCTAATCACCCAATCCCTTAGCCCCTACACCCTACAGCCTCGTAGCCTAAATCTAAACTTTTCTGGAGCTGTGGAAGTGTGAAATGAAATCAGACCCTAAACCCTCAACCCTAAACCTTAAACCCTAAACCCACCTTAAATCCCAAAAGGATTTCGACGCTGGTCTTGAGGCTCTGAGCTGATAGTGTAGGAACCTGATTAAGAACCCCTGGCCCCGTCACCCCCAATATATGGGAGTTTCCGAGAATAGGGGATCCATATGTAGCACCTTAAATAGTAGGATCCTTATTATAAGGCCCCCAAAATTAGGTACCCCTATTTTCGGAAACCCCCACATAAGGATTCATATAAGGAACCCTATTGAGGGACCCAGGGTCTCTTGGTCAGGTTCCTACATCAAGGAAGGCGAGGAGAGGTGCCGCAAGGAGACAGGAAGAGCCTGCTTGGATTTCGGGGCCCAGCCCTCCCAAAGGGTCCAAGTATTGGTATAATATATACTTTTGGGACCCAAGTACCTACTATAGTGGTACTTGGACCCTTTGGATCTTAAGTGTAAACCCTTTACCCTATAAGGTCCTTATAACCCCAAGAACCTAAACCCCTAAACCCTCAACCCCGTTTCCACTCAGTTTGGGGCCCTAGGCGGCCCTGCACCGCGTACATGATATAGGAGCCTGAATAATTTCAATAGGAGTTGGGGCTCATTGTGCTATACATGAAGCAAGGCACCCCCAAGCACTGATGTAGCATGTACTTTTAGTACCAAAACCTGTACTATCCAAGCACCAGTGGGCCAAATCCTCTGCTATCTCGCTGCTTAACCTAGGACTACCCAAACCGTGCAACCCAAAATGTCTATCATCTTGGTGTCCCTTAGTCTCCGAAGCTCTCAGGTCTGGGTGTTTCAGACACATGCACGTTTAGGGGTTTTAGGTGTTAGGGTCTAGCTTGTATGAAGGATCCACGTACTTGGGTTTTTAGGTTGGGTCTCTTACTCTCTGAAGTGCCAAATCTGAGACCCTCTGACGAGATCTCCTCCCAATCGCGCTTGCTGATGAAGCCACGGGGCCTTCAAGCGATCGGAATGCGCTTCAGGGTTTAGGGAGCGGGCAGATTCGTGATGCTGGGTCTACAGTATCATGGTTCAAGGCTTGAGGCTTTGGGGGGCAAGCTTGACATGTTGGCACGAGCCATGAGATACACAGGATTCAGCTATATTCTCGCCTACCCAACGCCTGATTGTAAGACTAAAGCGCTGTTCTGTTCAGCGAGCCTTCGGGCTGGGATCTAGAATAATCAAGCGAGAAGTCTATCGACTATCTGCTCTGTGGGGTTTCGGCGTGGGATTAACTACGGGATTACGACATGACGTTGATGTGTGACGTAGACATGCCCTCCACGGTAATCAAAGATGCTGAGCCCTGGGCGGCGTTGTGTCACATTGCCTTGGCTGGGAGCTTGAAATGAGGTCTCCGGCATCTTCAGGGTACGGACTTATACAGAGTAGAATAACCAATGAATGATATACAGAATAAGGCTTCTATGCTATATGTGGGGATGGCTATTGCATTCCGCACACAGGTACTAAGGATCTTTTGGGAATTACTTGCGTCCAAGGTCAGAGCCACACGAGGGCTCCAAACTCGCAATCCGAACCCTAAGACTTCATAAACTGAACCTCCAGCTTATACTTTGGCCGTAAGATCGTCCAGATTTCGGGTACGGTAGCGCCCAAGTATGCCAGATGAGCAACCAATGGCAATAAATAAGGGGCCGGGGTAATTACCAGCCTGATCTCCCTGGAAGCCAGAGGAAGGACTATGGTGTCATGTAACTTACCGATATCTAGGACACCCAGTAACCTAGGAATAAAAAGGGCTCCCTTTTTGGTAATGGGTAACTTTATAAGGAATCTAGGGTTACAAAAAGGGAATAAGGGTACTACTGGGCATCCTAGGTTAGTAACCCGTATAGGAGCCGTTACTTCACGGAACCTTGAAAGCGACCCTACTCTGACCCTCTTTGGCCCTACGCCCGTCTTTTACCCCCTCCCGCCACCTTCCCCGAAAGCTCCAAACTCTGACAAAGGAGCCGGAAAGCTCCCAAGACTGTTCCACTTATTACGGCCCCCGAAAGTATAGGACACTTGCAACAAACCTTAAAGGAACCCTTGTAGTAACCCTCAAAGGAACCCTTGAGGACCCTTGTAGAATTTGAAGGAGCCCTTAAAGCTTTAAAAGGGCCACCAATCGAATTGTTCAGGCCCCTATGCTATAATAGGACTTGGGCTGAGCCGGGAAGCTCCCAGTAGGCGAAAAGCTCTGCTTTCTTCTCTATGACCAGGCTCATCGCCCGGTTGAAGACCTCAAAGCTTCGGTAGGTTTTGCGAAGGTTTAGGGTTAAAGGGTCATAGGGTTTAGGGTTATAGGGTTTAGGGCCATAAGGTTGGGGGGTATAGGGTCATAAGGTGCAGGGTTTTGCCCGATTGAAGACCGGATGTCATGCGAAGGTTTACTAGGTGTCGATTTAAACAATCCTCAAAATTGTTTATAGTTGGGACTCTATCTCAAAAAAACGGAAATTAACAACCATGACAAGTCGATACACGGTTTAGGATTTGGGTTTGGGGTTTTGTTGTCTCTTGTTTGAGGTGTGGCCTGCAGGATAGACTGGGCTTCGGAGTGCTGAGAGCCCTCAGGTCAAAACTCCCAGCAGCACTTCTTGGAGGATCATGGGACTTGGCAAGTAAGGTTATAAGAACCTTAATTGGGGTTTTGGTTAAATATACCTATACTTACCTTATTTATAGCCCTCATTACTAAGTGCCTTGATCCTCTAAGTTTGACGGGACAGCAGAGCAGCATCAAGCATTGATTTACAGCTACATCTAAGGCTGGTCGAAGCTATAGGTTGGCCTCACAGGACTCTGGCTATGCGAAAAAACCCGGATAAAGCCCTTACCTGTTTGATACTTTGAATCCTGAACCTGCTGGCACAAACCCTTTGAGCCAGAAAACTGAGATCACTGACACTCCTCCTTCCTTGAGTGCAACAAAGCAGCGTTTTCAGACAGCTTCTGCACCCGCTCTCCCTCCTTCTGGGCGGCCTGGAGGCATGACTGAGAGGCAAAGGGTTGAGTGGTTCGTGCGGCCGGGATTCCTGAACTGATTGTAGGTGTTTGTAAATCATGAAAAGCCAGCAAAACGGGTCCTAGTCTTCCGAAAGGAAAAGAACAGACGATCCAAAACAAGACAACAGTACGCAAGTGCACTCTTATCCTTTTTTCTGGCCAGACTCCAATTACAAAATGCTAAGTTTCACCAAGCCGACTGCAGACTTGATGCTGAAACCTCCACAAGAAGTTGTTGGATTCACAGCGACGTCCAAATCTGCAAACGCCTGCGAATCTCCCATTCCCGACACAAGGCACCAGAATGCAGATTCTAAATCCCAAACCCAAATCCCAACAACAAACCGCCCCAAACTGCCCCAAACTAACACACTCCCCAAACTCACACTCTAGTTCAAGCTTGTCAAAATCAAAAACAACTACACCCCAAATTCTAAATCTAAACGAAAAAACCCTACTAAACCCTAAACCCCTAAAACCCAAAACCTAAAACCCCCAACCCCAAACCCAAAACCCTATACCCAAAACTCCTGCTAAACCCTAAACCCCCAAACCCCTAAAACCCTAAACCTAAAACCCTGAACCTAAATCCAAAAGCCAAAGCGGCCTGCACCTGCTCTCGAAGCTCCACCTGCCCGGCCTTAGGCGAAGACGGCTTCTTTCTTTGCTCTGTCTTTCTCTTTCATGGCTTAGTGTTGAGGGTTAGGGCTAAGGGTCTGGTTTTTTTTTGGGGGTTTAGGGTTTGGGGTTTATTTAGGGTTTAAGGTCTTTCGGGTTTAGGATGAGGGTTTATTTAGGGTTCAGGGTCTTTCGGGTGTCGGCTTTAGGGCTAGGGTTTAGGGGTTACGGTTAGGTTGACTATGGGTTTGGAGGTTCATGTTTAGAGTCCTGCTCCAAGTACTGTGAGACGCAAGACCTCTGAACAAGAAACCTTGGGGGCCTTTCTTAGGGTTCTATAAGGGTTCCTTTAAAGGGTACTATAAGGGTACTGTATAGGGTTTGGGGGGGTTTGATGTAGGAACCTGATTAAGAAGCACCAGACCTCTGAACTGCATGCTCACGGAAGCCCAGCCCCTAAACCCTCGAATCCCAATAACCCTAAACAGCATCTTGGCGACCTCAAACAGCACACAGGAAGCCTCACCTCCGGGAAGATAGAAGGCAGGACGAGTTAGAAGAGGTCTCCTCTTGATTGCGGCTTTTTCAAGCTTTAGGCCTAGGGTTTAGGAAACGACTTTCCCGTGCCTATTCGGTCCCGACTCCTGCTGATTGGGCTCCCAACGGTGGACTGCCGTGCCAGCTGCCGCGAACGGCGAACAGCGGCCGGTGTTTCCTCGACGTGACATTCAGCTTCACCATGGGTGTCTCTAAATCCTAAACCCCGCAGCAAACCCACTCGTATTGGGGGTCTCTGGCCTTATAGCTCAAGGAATTCAAGGCTCATCAAAGATGGGTGTGTGACACCCTCGAACTTTCGGGATGAGGGTATAGAGTTTTAGGGCTTAGGGATTTAAGGTGTGCAAGGTTGTGTGGTGTTTAGAGTTTAGACTTGGGGGTGTGGACT